TTAACTCCCTAACATCTTGGTAGTACCCTCTATGTGAAACAGACTAAGAATGTAGTAAACAGGTGACAAAAGACACCACAGAAACAGGTGATAACATATTCCTATGTCTTTAATGGAAACATTTTGTTACAATTTAGGTTATGTGATATTCTTGCATTTTTAAAATGTGTGAAAGAAAATGCACAGAATAAAAAGTTGAAGGACACCAATGAATGTAGATACTTTAAATGACCAAGTCGTAAAAGAAATAAAATACATTACACAAATAAACAAAGGTTATATCCACAGTCATGAATACACACTCTCCTCTACACAAAAACAACAATAAATAAAATCACATTATATGCAGATAGTTCTACTTACATCAGTACAATATACTGTGCAGCTTTCCATTTGTTTTCTACTAGACTGGTACTAGGTTTCTTTGTTGTCCAGTATTTTTACATTAATAATGAACAGTATCATCAAAAAAAAGGGGACAAAGTCAACATCCACAGTGTCTATCCTGAGTCCTCTTATTTTTGTGATAATTACACTTCATGCACAAGAAACAGCAAATTCTACCCATTGCCTTAATCCTGCCACTCTACCCAAGTCTTCTTAGCACTTTTAGACCTGCACAGTAAACACAATGTTGTTGCTAGGTAAATACCTAAACTAAGTGCATGGTACACCCTGAGCAGGTCCTATGCACCACTTAAATCTTGTTTAAACTTTAGTTAAGAGGGTATGTGAGATTTAAAAAGTATATAAACTTTCTGCCCAGTCTCTCAGAAAGGAGATACTGAACAACAAAAAGTGTACTGTGCAGAAAAACCTTGATCCCATCCTCCATACAGTCAATAGTATCATCATGGGAGTATAATCAATCCCTGAGCATTTCCTCTCTTCTCTCTCTCTAACTCAACTACACAGGTACTTTCCCAGTATTATCAACAGGTATCTACATCCTTTGCATCCTATACTGCAGAAGTCATCACATCTGCCACAAAGCCACATCAGGGAGATACTAAATATGGGAGGAAACATTTATCATCTCATATGGCACCAAGATAAACGACCACTGATTAGTAACTGTGATATTGGCTTTTCAGCAGGGCTTTGTTCCTCTCTGTATATGCAGTTCACAGAGAAGGAGAAGTTCAGATCATCACCAACTATGAAACAACACAACTGTGCTCATTAGGTCTGCTGATGGTTTAGTATAACATTAGCAAAACTGTTCATGGTTTAGTGGGGAGAATTCTGTGTTCCCTGTGCATACCAGCTGAGACTAGAAAGAAACCATTAAAACAAGATTTATTTTTTTTTAAATACCCTTTTTGGTACATTTTCTTTGCTTGCTCAAGTGTCCTCTAAAAACATTCACATGACAAACACCAAGCAACAGTTCACACAGAGTGGATTTTAACCTTTCAAAGACGTAATACCTAATGAATCCACGTAAGATTTCTGAAGTACTATAGCTAACAGACAAACTTTAACAGTGTCAGGTTACTTAGAATATTTTGCCTTTGATGCAGAATATTAATTTGGTGGTTAGTGAGAGATTTTGAATGAATTCTAAGCATCTCGTTTTCAAAGCTAGTTTTCTATGCTGTAAATTTGGTGTATGTCAGTTAGGAGTCATTCTGAAAGGTAAATTCTGGAAGAAGTTAATAGCATAATAAAACGGTCTATGCAATGATACACTGGACATAATTAAACACTAGCCCAAGAAAGCCTCAAGCCCCAGGAAAGTCATGGAAGCATTATCTTCTTGATCGAAACCAGTAGTAAACTCAGAAAAACACCAACATTAACCTTTATCCTTTCTTCCTCTAAGGGTGAGATAAAGGGAGACCTGCATTTATGTCAAACTCAAGGCTTCACTGGGGCAAACCACAGTGCTTAGGCTTCCTGTCATTCTCTAGAAGAGAAAAGACACTATCAAAGTCTGCTGCACAGCTTGCTGACCCCTGTAGACAGCCAGGTCCGAGGTCTCTCACAATCAGCTATTTGTTTTAATTTCAAAAGTCATTTTCCATCAGTCCCAGAGCTCTGATGTTAAAAGGCATCTGAGAATGGAAAAAATACAGGCCTCGAGCAATCTGAATTCATTTCTGCCTCTAAGCAGGGACATGCATAGTGCAAACACTTCCATTCTTCCACTTGAAAGGTTTCACATATACACAAATCTTTTTGTGCTTTCAACAGCAAGAAAGAAAGGGGGGGAAGGAGAGGAGACACACACAACTCATCTGAAGATGAAACTTTTCCCAGCATGTCCTTAAAAATACATTCCAAAAGTAACTTTGTATTTCTTTGTTTCTAAAAAGGGCTAAAACTGTCTCTTACAAAACATGCACTTCGCTGAAATTTGTCCCTTTATCACTCACTGTTGGGAGACAAGTTACTAGGGCCTGCTGCTGACCAACAGAAAAGGTAATGTACCATTACAAACTCATATTTCTGTTCCCATATGCCCTGCTTTGGCGGTCACTAGATTTAATTCAATTTTAGATCAACAACAATTAGGGTAAAAAAAAAGATTGTCTGGCATCACCTGACATCATCTCACCATGCTCGGACTAGTGCATTTCCTGTGAGCCTAGTGGCACCCAGTAACTGGTTTAGCTTTAATGGGACTGCTTCTATAATCCCAATTTATGCTGTCAACCCTGGGTGTTTTTAAAAGGAAAGTATGCCAGCTGCGAAATTCACATTAACCTTCAGAAAGTTTTTGGTCAATCTGATTTTTCAACTTTGCTTGGTTAAAAGACAGGCAACATCAAGACAATTCTGGGTCTAGAGCTCTGATAACAGCTGGTGTGGCCATAGACCAACCCAAGGCGTGCTGGCAGCTCAGCAGCATGGTGGCAATGAACAATGGCTGAAATTATGCAAAAGCCACCTCTCAGTGGAGTGGGAGCATTTCTGACTAAATGGTGGAAAATGGCTGTCTCTTTTCAAAGTACTTCTGAAGCTAGAGAAAAGAGCAAGAAAAAAAATGGGGAATTCAAGTGTTCACAGGGTAGACTGGGAGAAAATGAGGAAAAATAACCTCAACTGCTTTATTTAAAGAAACAGAACAGCTACATGGCTACTCTAAAGTACAGAGGAGGGTACTGAAGGATGTGGAACTGTCTTGAGCTCCGGAAAAGGTGGACTGAATTGCCAAAGAAATTTATGACCAGGACTATTAGCTTCCTGTCTTTGATGTCTATTCTTGGCTTTCCAGGAGCATTATGGCATTCATGAGGTGAAAATCGTGCTGGAGCCAAGGTCAGTTAAGGCTGATGCAGCCTGTTCTACTGCAAAGCTGAGAAAAATTCACTCTGAACTGCTTCAAGATGCTGAGTTTAAAGCCTGAAAACACTTCATTGAGGGCCTGAGTTTACTGCCACTGAATCAATGAGAGGTTTTTTTCGTCAGCTTAACGACAGTGTGATTGTGCCTCCAAGCCAAAAAATGAATCAGAGATCAACCTCAACCAACAATAAAACACGCTGTCAGGGAGCGCTTTCTTATTTCGTCTGGCACAATTATTTTCAAAGCATTAGGTACACCTTGATAATTCTTCATTAAAAAACAAAGTCCCTTTCAATAATGCAATATAGCACTTCTTAAAAACAACTGAAAATAAACACATAAAATTTATTTTCGGAAGTAAATTAATGTAACTCTTTAATAAACTGAATTCTGGCCACAATCTTGCAAGGTGCACAGCACCTCAATCAAAAGTTTTAGCAATGACTGAATATTCTCAGAATTTATCTGGGTTTGGTCTTCAGTGAAGCGCATCACAGAAGGAACTGGTAATTGACTGGTGATGGTGCTGCTCACAGACAACTCAGAACACACAAATTGTCCAGAAAAAAACCCTTCAGAACTACCAGTGGCCCAGGACAAAGCATCTAGGCATCTGACTCTGAAGTTGTGGTTCTTAGCATACTAAATCACAGGTATTATTGAAAGTTTTGCTTCATCTTCATCAACATGCAGTGGACATCTATGCATTGAAGATAACACGGTAGGTCAGATAATTTGTCCGTAGTATCGTCAAGGAGAGGACTCTGAGGTGAATCAGCTGTTAAACTGACCAATATTTGGTAATTTAAAAAAAATGTTAAATTTGCAGAATTTGTCAAACTCTGGCAAACAAAAAGTGTGAAGTGACTAGTTCAATTTCAATTTAACAGGCACAACTGTAAGATTTAGAAATAAACACTGGCCCATGGGGCCAACCTTTCTCTGATTGAAGCACATGGCAAGGTTTCCTTTGTAATTCAGCCAGGGCCAGGATCATACCCTTAGGTCCCAAGTGAGCAAAGCACTTAGAAGCTGAAGCTGAGCATATTTTAAGTGTGTTCCAAAGTGCTGAGCTGAGTCAAGGTCCAACTTGTGCTGTTCTGTAATACAGATGTATGTTTGTAATACAGGCAATTTGTTGAAGCCAAAAATTTAGGCTTTGAAAATCTTTTGAGAATCAATTTTTATTATTTTGATTAGACATTCCCTTACAGAGTTTGAAGCCTAAACATTGTGGCATTGAGCTAATGCAGATGAACCAGAAAGGAAAAGTGCATTAGCTGGTAAAGAATCTCTCTGCTTAATAATCTAAACTCAGGCAATTTTTGATCTATGGTCCATAGAAGACCTGGGAGCTATTAGCAAGAGGCCTGTGAAAGGCAGCTAAGAAAAGCAAGTTTTTTCATGCTATACAGGAATCCACTTATGTGAAATGTCTTAAATGATCTCCATACTTCCATGAGAAAAATGCACATGTAGGTGTGCAACAGTTTAGAAAGATTAAAACCCATGTGCAGGAACGGTTCATCTTTCTTGGGAGGTCCTGGTATGAAGTTGTGGCTAGGCATCCATCAGCATCCCACCAACAGACATCTCATGAAAAAACTTCCTAACGTCATGATTATAAAGCCTACATAAAACTGGGAGTCAGAATTATTGTATTTTTAATTAAAAAGTAATCTTTCATTATACTGTTGCATTTTTTAAAAAATATGTTTAGCTATAGTAAGATGGGGTAATAAAAAAGCTGTCGTAACAATTTGTTGTCCCAGCTAGATCTCCTGGCTCAGATCTTCTGGTCTGACCTTGCATAGCCCAGGAAAAATACACTACTGTCTTGGTCCCTAACTAATGACTGCTTGAGTACTAGTTCACACTGCAAGGCCAAGTCATAACAAATATAATTTTGGAAAAAGTTTATCCTTCAAATCATACCCTCTTTCCTCTACATATTTAAAGGTTTTCCTTTCCTTTTTCTGTGGCAAAATAGTCAAATGGATAGAAGAAAGTGAAAACACTGAAAGGCATATTTGCAAAACAAGTAGATCAAAACTCCCTTGGAAAGTATCAAAAAAACCCAAACTATAAGCATGCCTAGAGGCTAGACAAACTCAAATGCTTGAAAAAAGTTCCAAAACCTAATCAGGAAGTCTCTTTTTCTCCCCAGCTCTGAAACAGTACAAATGCTACTCTAACCTACATTCTTCTCTGGTGTCCATGAGACAAGGAAGCTACTTCAAAAAACTGTCCACTGACCACAGTGTTACTTTGGCTAAGGCACCTTTGCAGAAGTCATACAGGTTCAGAATGCGAAATGGGATGATGGAAATCTACTGTGTGAACAAGAGCTGTTACAGTCAGTCCTAAAGACACCAAATCTACCTGGTCTGCATCTACCACCTGTACTGGAGCTGCCCTGACAGCCAGGCAGCCCTGCCCTCTGGCTGCCTGGGACACTGGACATGTTTTATAAGAATAGGTGATGAACCCCTGCATATCCTAAGAGACAAGTAAAACATAAGGAAAAAAAAATCCAATTAAATTCTCCATGGGGTACTTCCCCATTAACAAATAAAAGGCAGCAGAAAGAAGACAGAGGCAGCTTTCACTCTTCATTCACTTCCAGCTACCCCAAAATGGTTTATCTGAACTGGTACTCTGGCTTCTCAGGACCTAGAATTTTTGTAGAACACAGGCTTCAATGTCAGTTTTGAGATTAACTTTCAAGTCTGACTATGATTGCTGAGGGCAGAAAGTTCTGCTTATGAAATGAGAACAGGATAAACTAAAAGATTTCAAGCACTAGAACCACAGTCATAGCTGAATTTTCTCTCACAAAACATTTTTATGGGTCTTCTTCACCATAGCTATAATATGTACTGTTCATTTCCATTTGTTGACTAGAAAGTGCAAGCTCTCCTTTGTCTAGTATAAAGTAACCTGTCAGTAGCTAATTCATCATAGATTCAGTTTTGCTCCTGGTAAAGTAAATGGCCAAAGTCCCAGGGATACTGATGGCAATGGGATTAAAGTCAGCCCTAGAATAGTGTTTTACAGCCCCAATTCCTGAAGGTAGTTCCTTGCGTGTTTAATTGTACACACATGGTTAGTCTCACTGACTAAAGTAGGACTATTTAACATGTGAAAAGTTAATTATTTTCAGGATCAGGGCCATTATCACATAGACAATTCAATAACTGCATTTATATTGTTTAAACAACTATTTGAATGTTGCACGTGTCTGGAGAAGAAAGTGGGGGAAAAAGTCTGTTAGTATCTACAAAGTCACTTCTCCTCCCCTAAATACTGGTTCTAAAACATATCTACAGCTGTTGACTTTCCCTGCCTGTTACTCCTATCATAAAAAATATGTCTTCAAAACATCCTCTCCCTTTTAATCCTACCAAAGCAAAAATAGATACTTTAATAGAAAAATACAAGATAAAAATATCCTAAAAATAAAATGGTAGCATGGAATGTCATTTTTACACAAAAAAGATCCCCTTTTGAATTGCCTCAGCTATACAAACACTTTCATATTTACAATTCTGGATGTAGTCCTGTGCTCACTGAAGTTAATGGGATTTTGCCATTGACTTCACTGGGAACAGGAGCAGGCTCTACATGGACTGTATTTGCCTCTCTGACAAGTCACGGCAGTGGAGAGAAAAGAGCATGAGAAAACACATATAAGACTGAGGAATTAGTCAGTCCTCTCCAGAGGCCTGATTGTCTTCTCCCTCACTATTTCACACCTGTGAAACTCCTCATCCTTCACTGGAGTTTTTCCTAACTCCCAGCACCTAAGAGGGAGAATCAGTGCTTTTGTTTGTGATACTACACAAACAAGGAATGAATGGTTTGTGTGTATTTCCACCTGCCTGACTTCTCAGTGGAGTTAATTACACCCCAGTGGAGTTAATTACACCCGAGTGCCAGTTCCCTCCCAGAACTAAACTCATTATGGCCAATCTTGTATCCCCTTTAATCAATGGCAATGATTCAGTGATGCAGGATCATACCCCAGATGAACTTTTTTCCATTTTGACAGCAACCAGCACCTGTGCCTGTGAAACCATATTTGATATCCATGGGTGAGATGCAATTAAGGAAGGAGGCGACAAGAGTTATAAAAAGAAGGGATCAGAATGAGGCATTCCCCATCAACTAAACCCAAATCTGCTGTCCTTAATATATGCTTTAAGAAATACTGTCTTTACATACTAAGTGCATCCTATAACATCAAACTGCATCGTTTTCTTTTTTCATGAGATGAAAGGCCATGCGGCATAATGTGATTAGTAAATCATTCCTGAGCTTTTGAAAGAAATTAAGACAAAATTACTGCTTAAAAGAGTGAGTTCTTCAAGAGCCTCTTCTTTTTACACTGATGTCTTTGGTTGTGTCCTTTTTCCTAATTCTTTTTTTTCCTAGGAAGAATGGGATTCTTTTTCTTCTTCTTTATGCGGCAGAAAAATGAGATCTAATGGAGTCTTCACGTAACTGCCGATGTTTCCCCATGTTACACTCCTCCTGTCGAGTTCGCCTCTCAATAGTTATTCTGTATTTCTTTCTGCATGAAAGGAGAGGAACAGAGTGAGAAATCCTTCTCCAGCTACAGGATAACAGGACTTCCCTTATAAAGAATGCCTGTAGGGGACAGCTGGGTGCCAGTTGAAAAATGAAATGTGGCAGAATGTGAAACCCTGGTCAAAGATTAAAGAAGTTTGCCTCAAAACATTTTACCCAGGCCCAAGAATGCCTGTTAATTTCTCACAGCAGTCTCAAAGCACCAAGACACAGACCTTTCCTTCTTTGAAAATTTCTGATCTAAGTGATTAGGAAGTTTTTGTGAAGTGTCATGTGAACTATATCACATCACTGTTTTATATTGATCAAAGCCAAATTTGTTTGCAGTATATGGGGGGCAGGGGGGCACTTTCTGCAGAGTTCAAACAACAGATCAGACTCTTTATTCATTTGTGTTTCTTACTGAAACTATATATTAACTTACTAATCCTCCCATCTCCCTCTGAGAAAGCTACTATGTTTGTAATGTCAGAGGAGGTAGTATGATGAATTAAGAAGAGGGATGTAGAGGACAGATAAGAAAAATACAGTTGCTCATGCATTAGACAGTTTTTCCTGTGTGTCTTCCTCTAGGGCCTTTTGAAGAATTCTGTTATGTTACTTTATACGTCAAACAAGACCTCTGACTGCCTTTCAGTTTCCCCTTTAGTACCTAAATGTCTCCCCAAAAATCATAAGAAGATTCACATGTATATTTTATGCATTTATGTTTCTACTCAGTTTCAGGACCAATTTTTTCAGAAGGGCATTAGTCCAAACCCCATGTGCTTACAGTACTGCTTGTGCAGATGCATGTCAAAAAGCTTTTATGCCAAGGAAAGCTCTACTCCACTTGCATGTGTAGCAGGAGTCAGAGCTCGATGTGCAGCAGTGGAAGAATGATTTTCAAAATAACCGAAGTTTTAATTTGGGTAACATGGCTCAACAGAAAGTGGGAACCTACAGGTTCTAAAAAAATTCCCTAGACATTTGTGTCTGCCTCTACAACATCTTGAAAAATTTATGTTCTTTACTTCGTTTATGTATTTTCAAGTCAGATCCTTTCACAGGTAAGAGCATGCACAGTAGTAGCTCATGCACAAGGACAGGTTCACATTTTAGAAATGTAGCTCTAAGTTTAAATCCTTTCAAAGCTACATAGCAGAACTACTACCTAGATCTTTTAACAGTTTGCATGCACACTAAAAACTGTGTTTGCATGTTTATTTCTGGTAATTAGAGATCCAAATGAGATGTAATCAGAAGGTATGTGTACCGTTTGAAAGGTACAGACGTTGCAGGTACAACTTACTTCTAGGCTCACAACTGCTAGACCTACATTTTCTGAAAATCTGACCCGTAAAGCCTGATATGTTGTTTCATATGTTTATTCTAATGGTGGAATTAGAGGGTTGTCCCTGCTCCTGCTCTGAGTGAGTGCAATCAGATCTCCAGAGTGGAATTCACCCATGTGTCTTCAGATGTCTCCAATGTCCAGATTCATCTGACAGAGTACCTGTGGCTTCCTTCTGTCAGTGCAGAGAAAAAGGCATTTATAAGAGGGATTCCTCTGATCTGGTTTAGCTTTTACAGGAGGATGACATGAACTGTACCAAAAAATGCTGCTTTCTCCCATCTGATCATAAATACAAAGACAGGGTGTTGAGCACAGGTGTGTACATCTACTTTTACAGACACTCACCTTTGCTCACACAGATTTCCAATCTAAATCTCTGTGTAAAATGACTAAGGGGTTAAGTCCTGTTCCTACAATGATGCTTTGCATAGTTTTCTACCAGCTCCGGATACATCTTTTGCCTCACTTCTTGCCCTCACATAACAATTCCCTTCCAATATTAGCCAAAAAATTTGGCTAAAAAACACACCTAAAAATTGTCATCTCTGATTGAGAACGTATAAAAGATGCAAGAACCTCCGATGACATATAATATAAAAACGGACTTGTATTTTTTGCTTTTAAAGACAGTCTTTAATTGGCCCCAGCTAACTTATCTTGTCTCAACCCCAAATAACATATTATATAAGCACCAAACACATGCTAGAGCAAAATCACTCCACAGAATTTCAGTTGTAAACACCTGATCCTGGTTCTGCAATCTTTTGAAACCCTGTAAGTGTGCTGGTGAGTTGAAGCAGTTTTTGCTTGTTTCATTTTATTAACATTTTTTTATAAGCAGATATTTTTTCTGGGCAGAATTTTTTGATTCTTATATGCAGAAGTTAGTTCCATCCTCCTGTCTGCCTTTTATCCTCTTATGCTATGGAAGAGAAATTATAGTGTATATATAAGATGCTGAACGTCTAACTAATTTATTCTGTCAGCATAGGATCAGCTCTCAGGACTTCAGATTTGCTGACTAGCAGTGTAAGTATTATTATACTTAAACAGGAATAAACCACTGATCACCCTGCACTGACCTCAGCTTATTAAATTAAATGCACAGCTTTGAAATTCAAATGCTCTCTTACATCAAAACAGAAATCTCTTTCTAGCTTCCAGTACAATTCCAGTCAACACTCAAAAACTAAGCATGGTACCAGGCAAGTGATAAAAAACTCCTGCACAATCACAGCCTGCACAATTGTGCTGGCAAGCAGTACTAAAAAAAGAAGGCTTTCAAGGCCAGGGCACTTCACTAAAGCAACTGTGAATGACTGGGACTCACAGGAATTATTTCCATGAGTAAAGTTACTCAGAGATGTAAGTGGTTTCAGGATAAGGCCCTGAGTCAGTAAAATGATTTGGATATACACAAAAGGACAGTCAAAGTGTGTTCACTGTCTGTGATGAGAATGTTACCACAGATTATTACGGCAGCTCCCTGTCTCCCATCAAGGATGTCCTGTCAGAACCTGAGAGGTTTGGATGATGAGTACTTTCAAGGAATTGGACTAACCTGAAAAAGTAGAAAGCCATTAGCAATCCTGCTCCAAGCAAGGCACCCACAACTATTCCTGTAACTGCTGATTCTCCTAGACCACCTGCTTGAAAAGGGGAAAAATAAACAATCAGGGTTCATACTGAGAATTATTTGCATTCACATATTGGAAAATACACACAGCTAGGAAATGAGTGACCAACATCAGATAATAACTAAAGCCTTTCAGAGCTCAGGACTCCATGGGAACATCTTCCTTAGTTCCAGTTTCTCCATGTTTATTTTTTGTCCTTGCTTTCCCTGGGGCTAAACCAGCCCCCAAGATCAGTGAAGAACACAATTATAGAGATGTGATGGACAGGGATGTTGGTTCTGGACAGCTTGGTCTGAACCATAACACAGACTGGGATTACAGTGATGCACATAACAGGAATCAGCACTGAATATGCCCTGAGTCGTCATAACAGAAACAAACTCATTTCACCTGGTTTAGCATCACAGTCCTCTATCACCCAGGTTTATTAAAACAACTGTATGATTATCCAACAGCTCCTCAGTTCCATTTTTTTTTTCTGAACCTATGCTATTTCAAGGTAAAGCCCTTGCTCCAAAATCTCGAAGCAAACCAGGGACACTGGCTGAAGGGGAGCCCAATTAGGGACTGTCACTCTGCAAACTGCAAGGGCAGCTAAAGATCAATGGTATTTTCATGTGGATGCAGCCTGCTCCCTTTTCCATGGCTACCCGAGTTTGTGGAAAGGAACAGAGAAATATTAAGGAAATTAAACTGATTCCTCCTCTTCATTTATCCTTCATCCTTTGAGGAGATTTTGTCTGTACATCAAGTGTGGAAAGAAGAAGGTGCATAGCTACACCAGGCTGAGCATGGAGGGTATGGCCTGGAAACAGTCTCTACAGTATGTGTGTACACAAAGGTTTTTCAGGGATCAAAGAATTTTCACGCTGCAGGTACCTTTTCACTGCAGGACTAGCAATTTTTTTCCTGGGAAAAGCTAAGACCACCCTTTGCCACTGAGACATCAATATCTTTCTACCCTTACCTCCTTGCAATGTCCTGCTCACCACAACATGGTCTGCAAAGTGTGTATACTGGAGAACAAGGACCTCTTCTCTATGAATGGTAGTCCCAACCTTCTGTATTCACAGGTTTTGCCCCATTCAACTGACTTCTCTTATTCTCAGCCTACTGGAGCCCTTGCAGTGCCTTCCCACAGCACTGAAAATCATTCTGCACTAGGAAAACACTGTTCCCATCAGCACTGGCCTCCCTAGCTGCTAATTATCCATGACTATTTTCTGTTTGGGGTTTCAGTTATATCCTTCTTTCTGGCTAAAAGAGATTTTACCTTTTAGCTCCTGGACAGTCCTAAAGCCTCCAGGGCCGTGGGTGTGGATCATGACCACTGTCACGTCTAAGTTCAAGGAAGTGATTCAGACCACTCACCACTGCCAGACCTTAACTTCCCAAACAGTCACCAGAGAGACAGACACCATGTCTCAGTTGGACAACTGTCCTAAGCAATTTAATATGGCCCATTATGTTGCATCACCACATGGATTCCTCCCTCTGACAGCCAGGGCAAGAGCATTAAGTCACAAAACTTACATGATTTACATGGTGTATTGTTTGTGTGCTCTGAGACTCGGCTTTCATCCAGTCGCAGCCTGCCATGATTCCAAGGATATTTAACATTTGATCGAATTTCAAAACGTCCTTGCTTTCCGTAGTAGTCTCCTATCACCTATGCAAAAAAGAAACAAATGAAAAGATTTTCCTATCAATTTAGGGAAATAAAACAAGCAGGACAGCAGCATCACTCACTTGGACTCCTGTGGCAGGATGGTGAACCACAGAGAATAGGGCTGAAGGGGTCTGTGGGAGGTTATGTAGTGAATGCTCTGCTCCAGGGCAGGATCAGCTGAATAAAAAAAGGCTTCCTGACAGATGTTTATCTAACCTGTTCTCAAAAGCCTCCAAAGATGTCTGCTTGACAGTTCCTTTAGGCAATTATTCTGGAATTTGGCTATCCTTGCTATCAGTGGTTTTCCCTAAAATGTAACCTAAATCTCCCTTGCTGCAATTACCCACACTACTTATCGAATTGCCAGTGGACATAAAGTATCTTCCTTTCTGAAACATCACTTTACATATTCACAGGCTCTTATCCAGTCTGCCCTCAGGCTTCTCTTCAATATAAACCCAGTTCACACAAGTATTTTTAACCCTCTGAACATTGCTCCTGCTCTCCCTGGGCTTTCTTCAGTTGCTCCGTAGTGGGTTGAGTGCTCAGAACTGTCACCCGGCTACATGAAACCACCATTTCAAGTACCTTGTGTGCTGAGGCTTCTGACTACACACTCCAGGTAGGAATCTTATATTTTGTAAAGGTCTGGAGGTACTTGATCATGGTCAGCTAAAATCTTCAAATCTTCTGAAGAACTACAACAGAGCCTGTCATTCTTCACTTCGTATTTCTGCTGTCGTTGATATTTACACAGAAAGGGCCTTTCATGCTTATTATCCCGGTAGCATGGACTATTATTTCAGACCAATGCATCCAGATACTTTAGAATTTCAGTTCAGCCCTCAACAGTAAATCCAGGCTTTATTCAAGATAACATACACTGGAGCTACCACAAAACTGCAGGACTAAATTGTGCTAACAGTAGTGGGTCACTCAACTGAATTTAGTACCCAAAAAATCTATGTACAGTAATAAAGGCCAAATATCATGACACTGAAGTAGTCAGAAGCAATTGTAAAAGCACATCAAAACATGTATTTGTCTTACCATGAGTAAATCACATAGAATTCACACCACCAGTAGCCTGTGCAAATATTTCACCTAAATTTCATTTTGAAGGGAATGAGTTAAAAGATAACATTTCCCTTGGTTAGCTACACAAAGGTAGATTTCACACTAAATAAAGGAACAATTTCTCTCCCAGTTTTGCAACTGGGAGATAAATCCTTAGAAGACTTTCTTTAACATTCAAAAATGAAGGCAAATTCAGTACCTTTCAAACTGGAAAAAATAGAGGGGAAAAATCTCAGAGACCATTTGCAGGCAGCAAACAATTAACTAAGAGATTGTTTAATTTATCAAACAGGAGTGGGAGAGTCCTCTATGAGCAGGGCTTATTAAATATGAAAGCATGCAGACAGACTTAAGAAGAACAAACAGGTATAGACTGCACCCAAACACATTCAGATCAGAAGTAGGATATAGAATTTTTAATAAGCAAGAGGGCTTAAACAGTGGAACAAATATCAAGAGAATAAGCAAGGCAGTCCCTGTTCTTCAGTGTCTCCAAACGAAAAACAAATGCCTGTTACAGTGTGAGCTTGTAAAACTACAGGGCTCCATACAAGGGTAGGAAACCTGCCTGCCTGTAATACAGCAGAGGTCAAACTAGGAAATCAGGTGTTTTCTTCTAGCTTTAAACTGTGTGAATGGACCTGGGAAAACAGGTCTGCACAAAAACCATTCATCTGGCTCAGTTCAGCTGAGAAACATTCTTGTAGAGATGTAGAAAAAAACGGCAAAATGAATAAAACAAGGCCTCAAAGAAAGAGTGGTTTTAGAGTGAGGCACGAGGGTAGAAATGAATGTAGCAGACACAAATAATCACATGTAAAATATGTTCATTGCATATGTATTTATATATATCATAAACAAATCAGAGAGAAATTAGAATGAGCAATATGTTAAAAGGAGAAATGTAACATCAAAGAAATAAAAGAGAGTTTAAATTGCAAGTGAAAGAGCAATAGAAAGAAGGGTAGGAAAGAGGGATTAAATTGATAAACAAGATAAAAAGCTAATGGACTGAACAAACAGAAAAGATACAAGCTGTTCAAACCAAAGTTATACCAACCAATCTGTGCTCCTAGCTTCAATTAATGATGATCACTCCTACCCCTGGGAGTGTCTGCAATTTATTACTGTAGTTTTTCAGTTACTTTTACACCCCAAACCACACTAGACATCCTCATGCTTTTAAAAATGCTTCTTGAGTTTGTCTCTGTAGAGCGCTGACAAGAACAAGAAAACTTCACTAGATTCAAATCCACACGTAGAAATGTCCAGCTCAGATTTACTGCTGTTTTATGTTTGAGCTTGATGAAATAGGTGAGCCCAGCAAAGCTTAGGTTGATGTTGACTCTGCAACTAACAGGAGCTTCATGCTGCAGCTGGAGTTAGGGCAATATAAGTATTAATAAACTCAAGCCAGTCATGCTATTCTCTACATGCAGCTGGTGCTATTTCTCCTAGACTGTTTCACAGTCTGGCTGCTTCCACTGCTGCTGTGTCCAGTGGAATAACCCATGTGGAGTATATGGAGCAGTCTGATTAAAATGTCTCTTAAACATTGAATGCAAGGCAGTCAGGTTTTACTGCCTGATAAACAAGGTGAGGCAAGGTCTGCACTCCTGCCTGTGGTTGACCACAGGTTAAGAATAAAATACCTGTACTCACTGTGTTTATATTATACATCAGGGTAATTTGTGCATCCCTGTTGCTTTAAGATTAATCTTTCTTCTTACCAATGAATAAAAGGCCTTGCTCATTTTAAACAAATATTTCTCATATTCAAAATCTGTCAGTAGTTAGCTAGCTTGTAAGATTTCACTCTTTTAAATTTTAAAGATTCTAGCATCATGTGAAGAAACGTGTTCTTGAAAAAAAGAAGTTAAGAAAGTTTGAAAAAAAAAAACCTTCGGATAACTACTTCAAGATAATTATTTTACAGACAGGATTCGGTCTCCAGGTTGATAAGATTAAGCAATACTATTTCAATGTGTATATTAAATAAACAGATGTCTGCCAAGTAAACAGATGATATCATGTTACATTACACTAGCTAATTCATCAGTGGGTGTTTGTTTCCTTACCTCCTGTGTGCCTGTCTCTGGGTCCGTCATTCCAATCACAGAGAAATCCCCATATCTATCTCCATTGGCATCAATGGACACCTGCCCTGCAATGCCTAAAGAATGGCATGTGAGGAATTAGAAAATTAATTAGTTAAAATACTGACCCTTTCCAAGGAAAACAAGAAAACAGTGGACAGGTTTTTACAGACTGATATGACAGGAAATCTCATCAGTCTCCCAGCATTTTTGTTGGCATTCCAAGAGAAATTGTAATTTCATCTCGGTGTCTGCATTCCTGAATTCTTAACATTTCTCCTTTTTAAATATCAAATGTGTGAGACTGTTTGGGGAATATGTGAGAAAAAATTTAATCCAAAAGCCAGAATGCAAGAACAAAACACAAATATATGTAATGTGAATTATTTATGGAGAGCCTAACCCTGAAATATCTAATGATGCCTCAATGAGGAATGTCCAGCTCACGTGCTGCAGAGGACATAGGGGCACAGCCTCACGCCCCACAGACTGACAGGGTTGGTGCACCTATACAGCCAGTCCAGTGTTGTTTCCATCTGATGGGATACTGAAGGAGGCACAGACAAGGGGCACCATGTGCCCCACATATGCATTAAGTCCTGCATTAATTTACATAGGATTAACTGCGTAATATGGTGCTGTTAGTTTTTTATTTTTAGACCCTCAGTTTACTTCCTTCCTTTACAAGTTCTAAAGAACTTTAGGGAAAATGGGAATCACAAAACTCATAGGATAACTCAAGTTTGAAGGGGCTTCAGGAGGTCTCGAGTCCAACCTCCCACTCAGAGCAGGGTCGTCAGGAGGTCAGAATAGGAGGATGCTTATGGCTTTATCTAGTCTTCAAAACATCCAAGGATGGAAACTGCACAAACTCTCTGGGGCAACTTGTTCCAACTGTCATGGTGAATAAACACCTCCTTGCACTCAGTTCGAACATCTTTTTTCAGTGTATCCCTTGTGTACAAAGAGTATGACTCCAACTTCTTGAAATATAAGCCAAACAGGTTCTTAAAATACATCAAGCAATACTAATTAACTATGATGAATACATTGCTGATATGCTTTATCACCTCAGATATTCTCAAATGTGATCCTCCACTGCCTGACATCAAACAGACATTTACACCAGTGCAAGTCAAACAGTCACCATTATACATCCATGTTACACCAACTACATGACTAGGCCAGGCACAAAGCAGTAGAGAATCAGGTTCCCAGTGACTGTAAATCAGGAGATATTCAGATATTCAGCCAGAGTAAAAATTCCCCTTAACATACCTAATGATAGTCAATGGGCAACAGATTAACACACCTCCATTTGTCTTGCCTCTTTTCCTATTTAGTGATGTCAGGAATGCTTAAATTTACCGTGATTTTCAAAACTTGTAGTGGTCATCAAAACATTATTTTCAAGCATCTGTTTCATTAAAACAATACACTAATCAAACAATTTTCAATTTGATTACTGGAGGAAAACAGAATGGGTGTAACAAACACTTGGCCATGAAAGCACTGGACGAGGCCGTTATGATGAGCTGCAATGTCCTTGCCTACACAACAAATTGGATTCTGGATCTGACAGGAGGTGTTAATTGGAACAGATACCTTCCTGGCCTAAGAAAGCCAAAACTACGTTTTTGGAAGTAGGTACTAAAATTTGCTGAAACTCAGAATTCCTATGGGATTTTTTTTAATGGGAAAGACTAATTTTTAATTTTTCTATCTGAATCAAAATAAAGACTTCAAAATGTCAACATTTCCTGCAATATTCTTCCTTAAGAAACATATGTAGAAAATTTTGAAACAACCTGAATGGAGAACTGCATTTGGATCAAAGTGGAAGGATTTTATCCAGACTCTCTTTTGATCTATTATGTTAGATATCTACATACAGAAAATTTTGCTACTTTTTCAGAGGAAACACCAATGAATAGAAAATACTCTCCATAAACTGTGCCCTGCAGTCATACCAGAGTATCTCTAACAAACCAAGCAGTAATAAATCCTTTGATCATCTCAGCCTCATCCTTTCCTAAGCACATGATGTTGCCTGTGCAGTTGTGGCTGGAAGACTGTGAACACTGCAGGAAACAGCATCCACATCCTGCTGGAGTTCTATTGGGTCACCTATTCAGAGCAGGCTGTAAAATGAAGTGCCCAGGCAACTAGATATCCAGATGTCAGCAGTTAAATTAATGTCATTAATGAAAAAGGAGTTCTCATAATTGAGGCTCACAAAACCTTAAGTAAATTGTAAAGTTGCAGTCCTGCTGTAGAGCTTGGTGGGTGTATGCATGGACTGCAGTGCTGCATCAACTTCAGAGAGGGGCTTACAGGCAGAATAAAGGGGTGTGGTTTTCCTAAAAGGACTACCTTGCAAGACATCAAGTCAAAGGTCTCTTTCAAAATCAGTTTCATCCTTGTAAACTGTGTCCAACAAACTACCGTCACAGGGAGGAGATGGCATATGATTTACCTGTGTTCGGGCCACAATTTGAAAACATAGAAGAGTTTTGGAGCTACTGTCCTTCTTGCCTTCCTCCACTATGTCCAGTGTGTTCTTAGAGCAGAGAACCTGGCCACTGAGGTTTTTCTTACACATTCAGATTAATCATGTGCTTCTTATCTAGGGGAAATGTTTCCTACTCTGAGGCATTTTCAAAGGAAATCTTGCCAATCCTACACCAAAAGACTGGAGTATTGTAAGAGATGGATGGGAATACCCTAAGAGATGACAGATTAATCCAATAATCCTTGGTTTCCTTACTACAATCCCAACCAGGCAAAAGCATTCACATTGCTTTGAATCTGAAGGGTGACATACAAGTGCCAGTTCCACTGCTGAACTGCAGCCTACAGGTTTAGGCACAGAAAGGCACAGTGCTGTTCAGCTGCTGCCTCTGAAATAACATGCACAGCTCCTGAATGGAGTCTGGGGAGAAATCCTTTTAGGGCCCAAAGGAGCCCTGTCAAGAAACAAAAAAACCTGGCACCTGCTTCCCTCTATCCATTCCCAGACTTTTAAGATAAAAAAATCAAATGGAAAAAATGAGGCAATCTCAGAGCTACTAGATGCACATGAGTAAAGTGAGCAGCTGTAATCTTTTTGAAAACAAAGAAGGAGCCTGAGAAAATTATTGGTTTGCTTTACAAGATCAGTGAGGGTCATTAAATTGTTAGTTTTTTGAGCTGAGTAAGATCTCAAGGGTTGGTGCAAAGAAAAGTCACCGGTGAGATATGTGGGCCAGCCTTAAAGACATATATGATATCATATGGTTATTTTCCTCTCATTTAAGAGTGGGATAGGCATGGGTCCTTACTCTGCACACAACAAAGACCTGAATTTTTTTTACTTTGGAAGCTAGAATAAGATATTAACTCTTACCTTCATATGTTCTGTTCCGTGTTTGCTGAACAATTTTTTCCCCATCTTTCTTACTGAAACCAAACTTCAGGACTTCCTGTAAAGCTAGAGCATAAAGAAGAATAGCATCATGGAATCCTTCCACAAACATGTTCACCTAAAAAAAAAAAAAAAAAAGAAAAAAACAAATGAAAAACTTTTCTTCCCTGTGGAACTGACTAACTAGAGAGAAACTCCAAATTAACCAAAATTACTAATTTGGAGGGTTATTTTCTCAATGGCTGTAGCACAGAGGGATGTGTTTCAAAAAAACCCAGGGGAAATATGGCAACTTTTGACCCATTTTTAAAAACAGTTAACCGTCATCTGCTATTCTGAACATTCAAATTACACTTTAATGTTGTGTCTGAATAGCTCTGCAGATAGGGGAGAAATCTGCAGATCACAGTTCCTATGCCCAGATTACACAAATTCTGCAGCTGACCACGTGAGGTTCTGTAAGGTGCTGAGGACACTCCTCATGCCACAGCACCGAGTATGTCCTCCTTCCCCTGCACAGAGAACTTAACACTTTGCAGGATTAGGAAGTATGTTCTGCCATGATTTTTTTTGGAGAGCACAAGTGGTGGATTTGCTTGTTTAATGATTACCACTTTCATTTCTGGCCCTTGTTCAGTTGAACATCTTCCCACTAGCAAATGAGCAATGGAGGAAACTACTTACCCTCTACAATAATGTGTTCTCTGGAACTGCCAGAACAGTTTCCTGTCCTTTACAGTTTTTTTCAGTAAGTGACATGAAATGAATGAAATGTAGCTTTCCAACCCTAATTTAAAAGGAGACTGCTGCCACCAGCTCTGCCTCCCATGAGTCTATGTAGGCAACCTACAGCTTTTGGTCTACCTCATTGTGAGTAACAACAGTTAAAAGCAGAATAATGCAGAAACATTACAGGTTTGTTCACAGGAGCCTGCTGTGTTTCAGTGATGAAGCAGTAATTATTTTAGGAGCCGAGCTCAGATGGAGACGCATCGGCAGAAGCAGACACACATGGCTTAGGCTGTGTATTTCTCTTCTGTAAGCAGCAATTCACACCTCAGTAGTGCAATACACCCTGGCTTGATGCACAATAATTCAGAATTAATTCTCTCTTCAGCTCCAAGGAAGATGTTCCCATTCACTCACAGTTTCATTACAATGGAAAAGCTCCTGACACACTAGTAAAGGTGTAAGCAATGATTATAGCACATTATGAGGTCTCTCTGCCATTTCCAGTGAACAACGCACCTCTACAAATATCCTCTTGGATAGAAACAACATTTACCCTGTCTTCCACTTCAGTGCATCTAAACAATTTTAAATGTTGGTAAATAAAAGTGCTATTTTAACTCTCAGAGTTTTAGCTGGACATTAAAAGATAAAAACATGTAACCAGTTAAATAAATAACTGCTCCATAGATAAAAAGTGCTACACAGTTGATTGGCTAAGCTGAACTAACCAAGCCCCTAGTAATGTAATTACATGCAAGATATCCTTCACTCTTAAACCAGTTGCCAACAGTTAGGAGAATTTCAGAATTATTTACTGATAATACAGAAGTTTACACTGTTCTGACATTTAAAATTGGACCTTTAGGTAACTCCAACCTATTTTTCATTAAGAAAATGTACCACCAGTTTAGGGCAAGAGTGCTACAGAAGGCACAGAACAGCTCAGCTCAGCCCAACAGCCAAAGACTAAAAGGCAGCTGCAGCTTTGACCTAAGGAGAAAGCATGAAAGAAGAGGTGAAAGTCAGGCTTTTGGTGGAATAACAAGAGCTGATGGACAGAGTGCACACTAGGACAAGCTTTGCCAGAGGGGGGTCTAATTTTTCAGAACTGAAAAGAAACCAAACCAAGAAACCACAAAGCTTGACAACTGCTTGACTGCCAGCATTAGAGTCCAAGTGGCCTGTGGATGATCAAACATGGCCTTTCTTGATGTCACACTCATTCTCTCCGGAGAGAAATGAGTCTCTCTAGTTGCTTTACCTCCCTGCTGGCTGATTTACAGCTTGTGGCTGGCATCCGTTTCAAGGAAAGCTGTTTGTCACTTCCTTTGTCCATGGCAAAGACCTCTCTGTAACACAGCAACCTTCAAAATCCACTCTGTCAGCTAATTTGCTCAATCTGAAATCTACCTATGCCACCAGCCTGAAAACCCTCCTGTAGACACTGCAGATTTGCCTGATAAGCCCCATCAAAATTCACTTGGCAGTCTAGGAGGTTATTGCCACAGCCCCTTGCCTTGACTCTTGGCCAAAACCCCTGACATTACATGTGAAAAATCACATTAGAAAATCATCAGATGTACAAAACCCAGCATTTTATCTTACACTGTCAAGAAAGTTGAAACTGATGGTAATTTATGCCATTTCAAATCCTCTTCTAAAAGAGCAACATTTACTGTTTGCAGGTGAGATCACACCTACACTCCCCAGCCAAACCTTATATTGGGCACACTGGCTACTTTTCACATTATTTCAGGAACATGTTCCAGCACTAGTTCTTGAAAGGGGATACAGAATGACATGAAGGGCACAGGGTTTTCCCACATACCATCTTGCTCGCCCATTTAGAATTTGCCATGATCCTATACAGAGAATAGGTTGCACGACGTATATGACTGCTCTAACTTAGAGAAAACATCAGAGATGGGAGGTTTATTACAATGCAAAGTAATGGCTGCAGATAATTTCTAATTCCTTTTTTGTTCCATTTTCCACCTGCCCAGAGCTCACCCAGGTTTATTTTGCAGTCCTGTTGCCAGTGACTGTCTATAGTGGATTCTCTAAGTAAAAAGACTGCAAAATTCATTCCATCTGATACCACTCCTGACTTATTTGAACAGTGTCCCAAGCATTTAGTCCCAGGACTTCCTTTCTGGACAACATTAACTCTGTTAATGATATCTCATGTACCCTCATGGGTATAAAGGATTTTCTTTCTTCTTCTTTTTTTCTATTATTTTAACAAAGATTCTGGTTTACATTCAAGCCTATCAAACGATGACACAGACACCTATCAGAAATGATGAAACAGACTGATACGAAATTTTCCTCATCAATTTTTACACTTTTTGGCCTGTAATTTTAGAATACCTGGCAGTAAGAATAAATAATGCTTACAAAAAAATCCCATCCTTCCTTTGCTGCAGGAAAAGAGTTAAAAAGGTTTGGAATAAGTAAATCTAGGGATAAGTGTAAATATGAAGATGTCTTTACAGGCCGTTTGAAAGTCTCCATGGTAATTAATAATGTGTGGTTCAACATTAGACAGCCCTCAAGACAAAACTAAACAGATTACTAAAGCTATTAAAGATCCACAAATCTTGTAGGTAATTAACAGTTCCTTTAGTTGAGCTCTTAATAAAAAGCAGAAGGTTTTGATTATTGTTTATGCTGAGTTTTTTAATTACAGGTGCAAGTTGAGCTCCGAATGCTGTGATCATAATTTGCATGTCAGATCTACTAAATTGTTGTTATCCCTGATCCATATTGGACAGCAGAGCCACCCCACAACATGTGTCATCAGCAATATGAGCAGCAGTAGAGAAGCTGCCAGGTTTGCTGAACATCTTTGGGGACTGTAATTCAAATATGTGGAACCCCCCCGATAACATATCTTCTGTATTACGTCCATATCCCATTCAAGGTACCACATAACGAAAAAGTACGTAAGCTAACTGCATATCTGGATGAGTTAATCCTACATTTGTGTCTTTTAATTTCCTACCTTTCTACTCTTATTGACCATCTTCCATGGTGGGTTTTTTCTTCTGGTGGAAATCACATGAATAAATTTTACACGGCTCAAAGTTATAGTTCCCCAAGCAGCTATAGTGTGACCACGCTATTCATATATAGCAAGGTGTTAACAGCATACACAGCAATCCGAAATACTACTGACATGGAAGACAGCCAAGCTACAGCTATGCAGGACCCATAATTTTCCACATCCTAGCCACTGACTGTTAAGTAAGCTTATTGTCTTCCACCTGGAACCACCAAGCTCTGAATCACAGCAATTCCAGAAATTTATACCACTTCAGTGCTAGGTGAGGAGGGTCATCATCACTTTTTCTCTACTGCAAAAACAAACAGCTAATACTCTCCCAACTCAGTCTCTGCATCTACTTCCCAGTATATTTGCAGTGATTTTCAAGTTGTCAAACTAGAGTCCCAGCCAAAATCAGTGAGGACCCTGGGGGCCTGTGTAGGATATACCCAGACTTTTTGCAAAAATCTTACCAGTTTCATACTTGACATGGTGCTCAGGTGAGCAAATGCCCATTGAAAGTCCACACTCTTTCAGATTAGTCTACAGGGATGAAACCCGAAGCAAACAAGTATAGAAGTTTGATCCTATAAACACATGAAGCTCATCTAACCTCAGGACTATGAATACTGTAAATGAACCCTTATGAATTTTAGCAATACCACGTTATGTTGTAAAACTATGGCATGACGCAGTAAAAACACAGCAATGAAGTTCAAATACAGCAACTATATTCCAAATATATATATGATGTGAAGTACTTCAAACCAATCTGATGTCAAGTTGGTTCACCTGCTTCACGACTATGGACTTCTCCAGTACAGCAACACATTTTATAGTTCAGGTAGGTGTTTCCCTACTATCTCAGGCTGTTTCAATGTGTCTCAAAAAAAGCCTTTTTCTAAACAGCTGTAATTTAACTGTCAGTACTCTTTTTAATCTTTCTTCATCAAGATAATGATAATTACAGTTCTTCCCTTATGAGCTTTTCCAAGAAACCCTGACATAGCTAACTTTTTTACATGCACTTCTTGACATGTATACTTGGTTGTCTTCTGTTGATTGACTCACTCCCCAGCAATATACTCTTCACTGACCTTTGGAGCAGGGACTATTCTCTTTGATACCATTTGCTGATGTTACATGCAATGTCACTGCTGATGCCATTGTCACAAGTACTTCTTCATGTTCCTGGGTATGCACAGGGGCCCTCAGTAATTCCTTGCTGATTTGCTATACCCTTATTCTGAGCTGCATTAAATCCAGAACAAGGAGCTCATGATCCCCATACAGTAGGTGACAGACAGATACAACTGATTAGATTTTAAATTTGTTTTTAA